GGGGCGCCCCACCCGCCCCCCAGGGCCACTCTCCCTGGTCCCCGCGTCCGAGGGACCATTTTAAAGTTCACGTGCTCTTATGAGGAGGGACACCCGGAGGGGGAGGGCTTGCTGGGCTGGGGCGGCGTGCCTGGCTGGGGTGGAGGCCCGGAGGGCGACGGGGAACAGCATTGCGTCCATTGGGGACGCTCCGTGCCGGGCCCCCATCCCTACCGCCTTGCGTTGCAGTTGGCAAGCCTGGGTTTTTTTTTGGGGGGGGGTTGTTTTTCACTTTTAAATTTTACTCCGGGAGCCCTCGTCAGGCGGGTCTCCTGGGGAGCACAGCAATCACCCGCTCTTCCGCGGGTCCCACCCAACCGTCTGGGGGGTGGGGAAGGTCTCGAGTGTGCTCCTCCGGGTCGAGGGGAGGGAGGGAGCATGAGAGCGATTTGTTGAGAGAGCTTCATGCTTGGGAGGAGAGGGAGAGATTATCGATCGATTTGATTTGGCATTTTTTGTTTACCTCCAAAACCTATAGGAAAATAGTTTATCCCAAGTAGGAACTGCTAGGTTCGTGATTAATGTGGTCTTTTCAGAGTTTGTGGTTCAACGGTGACCCTCGTGGGGAAATAGCTCTGTGGTGCCCATGTGTCTGTGACTCTGCGGTGCTGAGCTCGGATGACAGTCACTTTAAAGGCTTATGTGCCAGGGTCGGAGAGGACCTGGGTCTTTCTGTCCCTAGAGCTTTTGACTAGCGTAGCAGTGGGTGTATCTCAACAGGAGTGTTGAAACTTGGCTTTGAAGTTTTTTCTGCTGGCTCAGCATTTTCTCCCAACATGGGTGATCTTTTTCCATTTAGCACAATTGAGCATTTGAAGGAGTGCTTGGCTCAAGAGATTATTAAGTAGCGATTTTAAGGTACCCATCAGCTTTCTTGAATTTTGGCTTGCGTCAAGAAAGCAGGTTTAAAAATTTATAGTGAGCAACAGGTGTCACTTGGGTGTTTGTTCATTCCACCCATATTTTCCAGTGTGTGCTGAGTGCTAGGCAGCCGGCTCATCAGTGACTTAGTGCCACAGAATACACACCTTCTGGTAGAGGCATTTCTTGACTGGCACCGGTAAGGGTGAATCACTGAGACACCCCTTGGGCACACCCTGAAAAAAGAAAAAATAACTTGGTGGGCAATTCTAGTGTGACTCAAATGATAGTTTCTTGGGCACCTGGTCTTTCCTTATTTTCCTTGTCTGCCTTAAAGGGACGTGAGTTTCTCACCATAAAATAATGGGGAAAAGGAGCTAAGGGTGCTTAGTGGTTTAATCCCCAGCGAGGGAAGTGGGAGTTCAGAGCTGATCTCTTTTCCATCATTTTTCTTCTTTTCTGTTTTAGACAGGGTCCTACTGCGGTGCCCAGGATGGCCTGGAATTTCTGGGGCTACGTCCATCTTCTTGTCTTAGCCTCCCTAATTAATACCTGGGGACTACACCTGAATGTCACTGTGCCCAGCGTCCTTCCATAGTTCAACTTTGAAAAAGCTGCTTAGACAATTGTCCTGCAAAATTTATAGACAAGGATGTTGAGGGTTTTTTAAAATATATATTTTATTTATTTTTCTGGGGCTGGAGAGATGGCTCAGCGGTTAAGAGCAGAGGACCCAGGTTCGATTCCCAGCACCCACATGGCAGCTATGAATCGTCCTTAACTCCAGTTTCAGGGGAATCTCTTCTGACCTCCATGACATTGCACGACACGGGTACACTCACATACATGCAGGCAATACATGCATACACATAAGAATAATGAAATATTTAAAACATATAATTTTAAAATTTTATTATTTTTATTTTATGTGTATGCCTGTATTGCCTGCATGTACCCAAGTGCACCCATGTCGTGCAATGCCCGCAGAGGTCAGAAGAGGCTGTTGGATACCCTGGGACTGGAGTTACAGACAGTTGTTAGCTGCCCTGTGGGTGCTGGGATTCAAACCCGGGTCTCCTGCAAGAACAACCAGTGTTCTTAACTGCTGAGCCATCTCTCCAGCCCCTATTTTATTTATTTTTATGTGTATGAGTGTATTGCCTGCATGTATGTCAGTGTACCTGTGTCATCCAGTACCCATGGAGGTCAGAAGAGGACGTCAGATCCCCTGGAGTTAATGGACAGTTGTTAGCTACCATGTGGGTGCTGAGATTAGGACCCTTTTCCTCTACAAGAGCAGCCAGTACTCTTTACCATCTCTCCAGCCTCAGTATGTTGAGGTTTTAGGATTTGAATTTAGACTCAAGGAAATTGAGCTTTTGAGATTTGTCCCCAAACCTGATTTCAGAGCTGAGTTCTTTCTTAGCAATTTGCTACCTCCTTACCTGGGGAAGACTTGAATTGGGCTTTTCCTGTTTCTTTTTCTGTCATTTTGTTTTTCCATGTTGGTAGTTAAACCCAGGGCTACTTACATTGTACCAAGATTTGCCCCCCTTGCTTTCGTTTTTCTTAGGTTTGCCATTTGACGCTTACTTGAAGACTGTTTGTTTCTTTGTTTGTGAATGGCAGGTGGCACACTATAGTCTAGGCTGGCCAAGTACTCACTTTGTGGCCCAGATTAGCCTTAAACTCAAAGTCATCCTCCTGCTTCAGCTTCCTAAGTGCGGAGATTATGGACATGGGCTGCCACACCTGTCATTAATTTAATTCCCTTTTCATGTTTCACAGAGTCTCAATAAATAAGTACTTTTTTTTTTTTTTTTTTTTTTTTTGGTCTTTTTGAGACAGGGTCTCCCTGTACCTCCAAGCTGTCCTGGAACTCACTATGTAGACCAGGCTGGCCTCGAACTCACAAAGATCCACCTGCCTCTGCCTCCTGAGTGCTGGGATTAAAGGCATGCACCACCACACCTGGCCAAATAAGCACTTTTGAAGAAGAGTTGGGGGAAGGGGCGAAGCAGCGTGTTCATATCACTGTCCACCAGTCAACTCTGTGTCTCTCAAATGCAGGCAGTTGCATGTGGAAAACTGTTAGCTTCAGACTGCCTTGTCTCCCTACTAGTAATGAGTTTTGTTTTTGTGGGGTTTTTTTTTGGGGGGTTGGTCTTTTTGAGACAGGGTTTCCCTGTAGCCCCAGCTATCCTGGAACTCACTATGTAGACCAGGCTGGCCTTGAACTCACAGAGATCCACCTGCTCTGCCTCCAGAGTGCTGGGATTAAAGGCCTGCGCCACCACGCCCGGCCCAAGGTAATGAGTTTTTAATGTGCCCACTCCTCAAAAAAGAAAAGAGACAATGAAACTTAGCTGAGAGTGGAGAAGAGCCTGGCAAACAGGAGCATTCTGTACTCCTAGAATTCAAGAGACATGTCTTGTCTTTGGCAATCTTTGACCTACAACACTACAGACAGTTTAATTTGATCATGTGAGGATTTCATTTCCTGCCTCAGTATCAAATCATTGTCTTCTTTCTTGTGTATCTTCAGGATATTCAGTATAGAGTGCTATTCCAGGAGCCCCCCCACTTTGTTATTTGCTGTGCCAGAAATGGAACCTGGGGCTTCATATTTGCCAAGCAAGGGTTCTACCCCTGCGCTTACCCCTAAGCCCAAGAAAATGTGTCTTACGTAAGTTAAATGATAGTTAAATAACTGCTCTTCTGGACTGAGAATCCAAATTTATGTTTACTTTCTGCCTGTGTGAGGCAGTGATGTGGGTGGTGTGTAAGACTGAAAGACAGTGTCTGTAAACAATACTGATTGTGTGATTGTGTACCAGGCATTGAGTCTTGTCCAGTGAAAGTCAGGAGCAGCTGCGCTTTGTGTGGAAGAAGAAGAAATGGAGTACCATGACTGGGTTCAGGAAAGTGTCATGTAGGAAACTGTGCCTACATAAGCTTTGACAGACCAAGAGCCAAGTGTAGTAGGGCACACCTGTGATCCCAGCACTCAGGAGGTTGGGCAAGGGGTCCATAAATTTGAGACCACCCTGAGCAACATAGGGAGAGCCTGTCTCAGGCATTTTAAACAAAAGGTTTGAGGGGCTGGAGAGATGGTTCAGTGGTTAAGAACACTGGTTGTTCATAAGTAAATAAAATTTTTTTTAAAAGTTTAAAAAAAAAAAAGGTTTGAAAGACCAGCAAGTCTGGTCCAGGGTAGGTGGTAGAGTGTACGGCTAATACATTGAAGGTCCAGGTGTCCAGGGAAGAGTACAGCGTTGTGAGAGCTGTTGTGTTTCCTTCTGGCTGAAGGCACAAGGCTGGCAGGGCTGAGTGGAAAAAGATGAAGCCAGAGAGGTTTGCAGGGGCTCTTTAAACTGGTTCTGGGAGCTGGGACTTTGTTCTTAAAGCAGTGGGAAGCTTTAAATGCCTTGTGTCTCCCCCCCCCCCTTTTTTTTTCTTAGTTGCTGCATGTAGGTAAGTGCACCCACGTCGTGCAGTGCCTGCTGAGGTCAGAAGAGGCTGTCAGATCCCCTGGAACTGGAGTTATGGACAGTTGTTAGCTGCCAATATGGGTGCTGGGATTTGAACCCGGGTCCTCTGCAAGAACATTCAGTGTTTTGTTTTGTTTTGTTTTATGTCTTTTTGAGACAGGGTCTCCCTGTAGCCCCAGCTGTCCTTGGAACTCACTGTGTAGACCAGGCTGGCCTTGAATTCACAGAGATCTGCCTGCCTCTGCCTCACAAATGCTGGGATTAAAGGCGTCCGCCACCACACCCACCAAAACATTCAGTGTTCTTAACCACTGAGCCATCTCTCCAGCCCTGGAATTTCTTTTTTAAAAAATATTTATTTT